GTGAGGGTCAGCAGGGTGTAGGGGTGGAGGAATGCTGGGTGAGGGTCAGCAGGGTGTGGGGGTGGAGGAGGGCTGGGTGAGGGTCAGCAGGGTGTGGGGGTGGAGGAGGGCTGGGTGAGGGTCAGCAGGGTGTGGGGGTGGAGGAGGGCTGGGTGAGGGTCAGCAGGGTGTGGGGGTGGAGGAGGGCTGGGTGAGGGTCAGCAGGGTGTGGGGGTGGAGGAGGGCTGGGTGAGGGTCAGCAGGGTGTGGGGGTGGAGGAATGCTGGGTGAGGGTCAGCAGGGTGTGGGGGTGGAGGAGGGCTGGGTGAGGGTCAGCAGGGTGTGGGGGTGGAGGAGGGCTGGGTGAGGGTCAGCAGGGTGTGGGGGTGGAGGAGGGCTGGGTGAGGGTCAGCAGGGTGTGGGGGTGGAGGAGGGCTGGGTGAGGGTCAGCAGGGTGTGGGGGTGGAGGAGGGCTGGGTGAGGGTCAGCAGGGTGTGGGGGTGGAGGAGGGCTGGGTGAGGGTCAGCAGGGTGTGGGGGTGGAGGAGGGCTGGGTGAGGGTCAGCAGGGTGTAGGGGTGGAGGAATGCTGGGTGAGGGTCAGCAGGGTGTGGGGGTGGAGGAGGGCTGGGTGAGGGTCAGCAGGGTGTGGGGGTGGAGGAGGGCTGGGTGAGGGTCAGCAGGGTGTGGGGGTGGAGGAGGGCTGGGTGAGGGTCAGCAGGGTGTGGGGGTGGAGGAGGGCTGGGTGAGGGTCAGCAGGGTGTGGGGGTGGAGGAGGGCTGGGTGAGGGTCAGCAGGGTGTGGGGGTGGAGGAGGGCTGGGTGAGGGTCAGCAGGGTGTGGGGGTGGAGGAGGGCTGGGTGAGGGTCAGCAGGGTGTGGGGGTGGAGGAGGGCTGGGTGAGGGTCAGCAGGGTGTGGGGGTGGAGGAGGGCTGGGTGAGGGTCAGCAGGGTGTGGGGGTGGAGGAGGGCTGGGTGAGGGTCAGCAGGGTGTAGGGGTGGAGGAATGCTGGGTGAGGGTCAGCAGGGTGTGGGGGTGGAGGAGGGCTGGGTGAGGGTCAGCAGGGTGTGGGGGTGGAGGAGGGCTGGGTGAGGGTCAGCAGGGTGTGGGGTGGAGGAGGGCTGGGTGAGGGTCAGCAGGGTGTAGGGGTGGAGGAGGGCTGGGTGAGGGTCAGCAGGGTGTGGGGGTGGAGGAGGGCTGGGTGAGGGTCAGCAGGGTGTAGGGGTGGAGGAGGGCTGGGTGAGGGTCAGCAGGGTGTAGGGGTGGAGGAATGCTGGGTGAGGGTCAGCAGGGTGTGGGGGTGGAGGAGGGCTGGGTGAGGGTCAGCAGGGTGAGGGGGTGGGGTGGAGGGCTGGGTGAGGGTCAGCTGGGTGTGGGGGTGGAGGAGGGCTGGGTGAGGGTCAGCAGGGTGTGGGGGTGGAGGTGGGCTGGGTGAGGGTCAGCAGGGTGTGGGGGTGGAGGAGGGCTGGGTGAGGGTCAGCAGGGTGTAGGGGTGGAGGAGGGCTGGGTGAGGGTCAGCAGGGTGTAGGGGTGGAGGAGGGCTGGGTGAGGGTCAGCAGGGTGTGGGGGTGGAGGAGGGCTGGGTGAGGGTCAGCAGGGTGGGGGTGGGGTGGAGGGCTGGGTGAGGGTCAGCAGGGTGTGGGGGTGGAAGAGGGCTGGGTGAGGGTCAGCAGGGTGTGGGGGTGGAGGAGGGCTGGGTGAGGGTCAGCAGGGTGTGGGGGTGGAGGAGGGCTGGGTGAGGGTCAGCAGGGTGTGGGGGTGGAGGAGGGCTGGGTGAGGGTCAGCAGGGTGTGGGGGTGGAGGAGGGCTGGGTGAGGGTCAGCAGGGTGTGGGGGTGGAGGAGGGCTGGGTGAGGGTCAGCAGGGTGAGGGGGTGGGGTGGAGGGCTGGGTGAGGGTCAGCAGGGTGTGGGGGTGGAGGAGGGCTGGGTGAGGGTCAGCAGGGTGTGGGGGTGGAGGAGGGCTGGGTGAGGGTCAGCAGGGTGTGGGGGTGGAGGAGGGCTGGGTGAGGGTCAGCAGGGTGAGGGGGTGGAGGAGGGCTGGGTGAGGGTCAGCAGGGTGTGGGGGTGGAGGTGGGCTGGGTGAGGGTCAGCAGGGTGTAGGGGTGGAGGAGGGCTGGGTGAGGGTCAGCAGGGTGTGGGGTTGGAGGAGGGCTGGGTGAGGGTCAGCAGGGTGTGGGGGTGGAGGAGGGCTGGGTGAGGGTCAGCAGGGTGTGGGGGTGGAGGAGGGCTGGGTGAGGGTCAGCAGGGTGTGGGGGTGGAGGAGGGCTGGGTGAGGGTCAGCAGGGTGTGGGGGTGGAGGAGGGCTGGGTGAGGGTCAGCAGGGTGTGGGGGTGGAGGAGTGCTGGGTGAGGGTCAGCAGGGTGTGGGGGTGGAGGAGGGCTGGGTGAGGGTCAGCAGGGTGTGGGGGAGGAGGAGGGCTGGGTGAGGGTCAGCAGGGTGTGGGGGTGGAGGAGGGCTGGGTGAGGGTCAGCAGGGTGTGGGGGTGGGAGGAGGGCTGGGTGAGGGTCAGCAGGGTGTGGGGGTGGAGGAGGGCTGGGTGAGGGTCAGCAGGGTGTGGGGGTGGAGGAGGGCTGGGTGAGGGTCAGCATGCAGGGTGTGGGGGTGGAGGAGGGCTGGGTGAGGGTCAGCAGGGTGTGGGGGTAGAGGAGGGCTGGGTGAGGGTCAGCAGGGTGTGGGGGTGGAGGAGGGCTGGGTGAGGGTCAGCAGGGTGAGGGGGTAGAGGAGCCTTCACTGTTGTCAACCTAACCATGAGGCAGCCTCCTCCTCCTCCCCTCATTACAACTCATACTCTCATTGTGTTGATGAAGCTGTACCAGGTAAGAGGATTAACAGATGAACCGGTTTTTACGCTAATTCTCCTCCCTTCCCCTCCCCCTTTCGCTTTACATGTTGTGTGCGTGTGTCTGTGTATGGTGAGTTGTTTGGCGGGGACTTGAAAACCTTATTATGAAAAGAGCATAGTAGCTTTTTATTTTCATATGGCATACGTACATCATATATACCATATGATGTTTGGGGGCCAGATTTTTCTAGGTGTTCTTAAAGTATTTACCTCTTTACTACACATCTGTTTATATAATGTATAAGAGAATGTCTGCCAGTCTGTTTGTATCTCTGAGGTCGGAGACCAGATGCTCAGGGCTAGCCTCACTATACTTTGCAGGGTTATTGTTCATCTAATAGGGAGTTTCATAGGGGGTCGAAGATGGCCCACGACCTACCTGAGGGCAGGCCCCAGGACCCAGTGCCTCTGTTAAATCTGTGGATGTGAAATGTTCAGCCTTAGGTCTATTGACTTTAATGAGAGTGTAAATAATGATGGACAAGTACTCCATCCCAGTATGACGAGGACGCTGGCTCAGGTGATGGAGCTGCCTCGGATGGTATATATACTGTATACAAAAGCCGGAGTTCCTTACGCAAAGAGAAAAGGCCAGGAAAGCCAACAGTGTTGTCAAGGTGACCAATTCCACCCCTACACTGGGTGGAGCAGGACCTCCTCCAGCACCCCGGGGTAAATATGCCAGGCTGGCATTTTCACCTGAAGTTACCAGTGACGGGAGGTACTCCGGGATCAAACGTGACCTCCCTCCTGCTTTTGTTGATCCCATAGACATTATAATCCCCGGACACGCCTCACCCTACATCTATGTAGCAAGATCCAGTGAAGACGCCATCTCTGCCCTACTCCAAGGTCGTGTGGGTGCCATCACATTCAGTAACGCCGACTCTCCTGGGGGCTCTTGGACATACAAAGAATACCTTGTCACATCCTACCCTCATGACCTTGACATCTCCTGTGCGAAAACATTACCAGTTGTGTACAGTGCAAGACGCATCAAGTCTGGGGGGGGGGGGAGGCCACTAAACAGGATTGTCATTGTCTGAGAAGATGAGGCTCCACCCCTCAGACGTCACATGTTCCAAGGTCCCTACTGACCAGCCTGCCCCATAACACTCTGGGTGCCCCTCAGCTGTCTTGTGTTTTAAATGTCACCACTTTGGTCACATAGCCAAGCACTGTAGACCTCCAGTCACCTGTGCCTTCTGTGCTGGCAACCATCCCACTAAAGAATGCCCCAATAAAGACCACGCTCCTGAGGCAGATGAGACATCATCCTCAGCCACCAAGCACAAGTGTTCCAGGTGCTTGTGGGAGGGTGTGACCGCCTGGCACAAAGACTGTGTCAGGCGTCCTCCCCCTCACAACACAGTGGGGCAACCCCCTTTTCCCCCACCCGGGATGACCCAACCACCACACCAGCCCACCCTCCACCCGGGATGATTCCACCACCACACTAGCCCCCCCCCCCACCCGGGATGACCCCACCACCACACCAGCCCACCCCAGCACCCGGGATGACCCCACCACCACACCAGCCCACCCCTCCACTCGGGATGATCCAACCACCACACCAGCCCCCCCCCTCCACCCGAGATGACCCCACCCCCACACCAGCCCACCCCACCACCCAGGATGACCCCACCACCACACCAGCCCACCCCACCACCCAGGATGACCCCACCACCACACCAGCCCACCCCACCACCCAGGATGACCCCACCACCACACCAGCCCGCACCCCACCACCCGGGATGACCCCACCACCACACCAGCCCACCCCACCACCCAGGATGACCCCACCACCACACCAGCCCACCCCACCACCCGGGATGACCACACCACCACATCAGCCCACCCCACCACCCAGGATGACCCCACCAACACACCAGCCCACCCCACCTGGGATGACCCCACCACCACACCAGCTCACCCCACCACCCGGGATGACCCCACCACCACACCAGCCCACCCCACCACCACACCAGCCCACCCCACCACCCCGGATGACCCCACCACCACACCAGCCCACCCCACCACTACACCAGCCCACCCCGCCACCCGGGATGACCCCACCACCGTTCCTGACACCAACAGCCTGGCAACCGTCCGTGGCCTACCTGGGAAGCCTGACGCCAGCCTGCAGAGGGAGGTGTTAGAACTTCCAGCTCGCATGTGTAAAATGGATATTACCATCTATAAGCTGCAAGAAACACTCACGAACATTGAAAAAGGTCTCAACAGCATTTATGCTAAGATCAACATGGACAACCTGAGACAGTGTTCAAGCGATCCTCTCGCCGGCCCGAGGAGTGAAGTAAACGTCCAAGTCTCTAGTGAAATGTCTTCCAGTGCTGTAAGTGTTGACATGTCTCAAGCAAGAATCGACCCCTCCTCCAGTGCTGAAAGTGTTGACATGTCTCAAGCAAGAATCGACCCCTCCTCCAGTGCTGAAAGTGTTGACATGTCTCAAGCAAGAATCGACCCCTCCTCCAGTGCTGAAAGTGTTGACATGTCTCAAGCAAGAATCGACCCCTCCTCCAGTGCTGAAAGTGTTGACATGTCTCAAGCAAGAATCGACCCATCCTCCAGTGCTGTAAGTACCGCTGTGGCGTGTATAACAAATGAAAACCCCGAGTGTCTTAACTGTAATTAGCAAATGCGCTCAAGCACTCATTCCAAACAATACCTCTTGTTTGATCCTTGATTATTTGATCCACCTCTGTGGATCCTGATGAACATGACATGATTGTACAAGTTAGGAAAGGTCCAGGCAACCAACTGACCTGGAAACAGGTGAAGGAATTCTTTGCCATTGATGACTCTGAATAAATTGTCACTTGTACGCAATAGTTTGCAACTTGTGAACCTTGTAAACACTTCTCTTTGTCAGGTTCATGAACACCATTACCCACGACCAAATCACTTTTAAATTTCTCACATGGAATGTGAGAAGCGTGCCAAGGAGGCTGTTTGATCTAATGATGTACGCTGGTGCCAACAACACTGATGTACTGTGCCTGCTGGAACCATACACATGCAAACACAACAAATAAAACGCCACCAAAACTCTCAGGATATGTAGCTTTCTCAAATGTTGGTTCACATGATGTCGGTATCTTGACGTATGTTAAAAGTAACCTAGTGTTTAAACATGTTAAAAACCACAAAAGTGACGACTCATATTATCAGCAGTTTCAGATTGCTACAGCGACCGGCGTTATTTATTTAATTAATGTATATGTAAGGTGCGATCAAATAGTGGAAGCTTCTCTTCCAAAAATCACCAGCAGCTCTCAGTCCATTGTCATGAGTGATTTTAATGCTAGACACACTGTCATTGGTCACGGTTTCATTGATAATGCTGTCGGAGGATCAATTGTCCATGAATTAGTTACTGATCACTTTGCCGTATTCGGTTCACACACTATCAATAATGTCAAATCTTTAAGCTTTGAAAAAATAATTAATATCCTTGCAAATTTACACATACATTTCAAATTCTGCATTTCCGAATGGTATAACACTTACTGCTTTACTACCGTCAATGCATTATATGAGGTCATTATACCTGGTCACTGAAGTAACCGCTTTTTATGACAACATTGTAAAATCCACAAGTCCCAAAACAGTGAGGAAGGAACAGAGGTGGTTCACTGACTCACGCCTTAAGCCCCTGCATGACAGAGTTCTATTCCCAGCTGAGCAGTATAAAACACAAAATAATTGACTCCCTCAACATATTTCTTAAGGCCAGCCGAGAGTTTAGAGAGCTAAAGGAACAGGTTTATAACCAGCACTGGGAACAGTTTTTGCAAGGCATCAATCATGCAACATCCTCATCCTAAATGTGGAATAAAAATAAAAAGATTTTTCATCCTAACTTCAACAATTTGCAGCACTGCCAGTATAAGCAGGTTGCCTCTAGATGTACAACACCATCTGGCTAGTACAAAAGTAAATCGTTACTTCAATATTGAAATTGCCTGTAGAGGAATAGAGCCTGATGATAACTATGGCATAACCCCCTTTGAAATTAAAAATGCCCTCAAGAAAGGTAAGGCTACCTCTCCTTTAGAGGATGGCATCACATACAACACCATGAGAGTACTTGCTGAGCTGCCAAATAGCCCTTTGCTAGAAATGTTTAATCAATGTCTAAGGCAGGATATCTTGCCTGACCGCTGGGCACAGGGACTCATGATACCCATGCCAAAGCCTAATTTACAAAAATTTTGACCCATTTCTCTGACGTCGTGCACGTGTAAAGTTCTTGAGAGGATTATAATCGACAGACTAATGTTTCAAATCAAGCCCCGCCTTACTCCTAACCTGTATGGTTTCCTTCCTGGAAGAAGCACACAAACTTGCTCTGCTGAATATTTTATTAGAAAGGGACGAAGCTCTCAGGCGGCATTTATTGATCTCCAAACTGCTTTTTATACAGCAAACGAGAAATAATCTTAGAACAACTAGCCTCTTTAGGAGTTAAGGGAAGACTGTTGACACGGCTCAAGGGTTACCTGAGTAACAGAACCGCCTCAGTCCTTTTCAAGGGGGGTCAAAAGTAAACTTTGTTTTCCCTCTGAGTTGGGTACACCCCAGGGTGCAGTGCTAAGTCGTACACTGTTCAATGTTCTGATGCACAAATTAACAATTGATGTTCCCACACTACCTGACGAAGCCGTCCTCTGTTATGCCGATGAAATATGCTTTGTTGCAAATACCCAAACTTGACTGCAAACTCTACTTGATTCACTCGCTGCTAAAAGCATTGAATGTGGTCTTGTTATCTATATAACTAAATCCAGAGTTCTCCATCCCCAAGAGAAAACTCATGTCTCTATAACTTTCAAGGTCAACAACCAGAACATTGAAACGTGTAGGCAGCACAAATACTTTGGAGTTGGTATTAACAGTGACATTGTAAATTATCTACACCGTAGGTTAAAAGAAAGACTAAAACCATTGAGAACACTTACTGGTAAGAATATTGGTATCAATATTAAATATGCTAGACTATTCTATATGATGTTTGTTAGATCTCTTGTTGATTATAATGCTTTGCACTTAATTAATTTCGCCTCCTCTGTGTTGGACAAACTTGAAGTAGTACAGAAAGAAGCCATGAGGATAATTCTTGGTGCCCCAAGATGCACAAGAATCATCAACATGAGGGAAGAACTGTAGCTTCCAACCATACTAGAGAGAATCATGCAAGTCAACACTACCATTTGCCCTCAAGTCATGAGAGACCCAACATCTCCTGCATTGCTCAGAGACAAATTATTTAATGCTGTTAACACCCTATTGACTGATGCCGACATACCAACTCACTCCTTTTATGATAAATGACTGATCAAAAATGCCTACAATCTCATCAAATTCAACATTCCTTTTAAGTGCAATCTACCAGTCTCTGATGTTTCTCTTTATCTGTACCCCACCATTCAAGTATCATACACACCTGTCACCAAGAAAGGTAATGAGAATCTTGCTCTTCTCAAAGCTGTCACACTCGAAACAATTGCCTCCTCTATCGAGAATTTAAGATCTCACGAGCACTGTGTCTACTCCGACGGCTCAGTCCAATCTTCTACTGGACGGACTGCGGCAGCATGTACGTTTTATTGAAATAATATTTGCACAAAGAATGTCAGTGTCAGGTTAAACAACTGGCTGACCTCCACACTAGCAGAACTAGCGGCACTACAACTAGCTACCAGTACTATAAAACACACTGGAGGAGGAATAATATTTTGTGATTCAAAGTCTGCTCTTCAAGCAATTGAAACCTTCTTCTGGAAGATCGACAGCAAGAACCTCATGCTACCAATTATAAATGACCTAATAGCTGCACAGAGCAAAAGGTCTCGAATCTCCTTTGTATGGATTCTATCACACATAAATATAACCCATCATAATCAGACAGACATTGCAGCCAAATTAGCGTTTAACAAAGATGAAGTTGACTTAGATCTAGGTATCCCCATCTCTTCTGTCAAAACTATATTGGTCCAAACACTCAGGTCTGATAGGAAAGAAATTACTGACTCCCAGCGACCTGAAAGCACTAGTATAAAAAGATATGATTTGTTCAGATCTGAAACTATATCTATGGGCAGCACAAGACGTCCACCAGACTGTGCGACACAGTAGTTGCCAGGATCAAGTTGGGTTTTGGCAGACCCAAAATTTGCCAGTGCAGGCTACTAAACATATGGCCCTGTATGACTAACCATCCTGGGTGATGGGGACTTTTAGTACCACTGCTACCTTGTTGACCAGACCACACACTAGAAATTGAAGGGACGACGACGTTTCGGTCCGTCCTGGACCATTCTCAAGTCGATTCCTTATACACTGCTACCTTATTCATTCTTGTGCTGATGATATCCTCATAAAGCACCCAGAGTCTACCAGTGGAGACAGCTTATCACATGCCTCTGTATGACTAACCATCCTGTGTGATGGGGATATTTTAGCATCACGTAGCTTGCTTTTTGACACGCACTGTACTACTACCCTTCATAAAGTCTAGGGTAGCTGCACAAATGCAGATGTACCTAATATATTGGTTAAAAAAATTACGAATTCAGTTATTTTCTTGCGAAACGAACGTATGTTCTGATGACAGGTTTGAATTCTGGGTTACAAAGAGAGATAGAGAGAGAGAGAGAGAGAGAAGAGAGAGAGAGAGAGAGAGAGAGAGAGAGAGAGAGAGAGAGAGAGAGAGAGAGAGAGAGAGAGAGAGAGAGAGAGAGAGAGAGAGAGAGAGAGAGAGAGAGAGAGAGAGAGAGAGAGAGAGAGAGAGAGAGAGAGAGAGAGAAAGAGAGAGAGACAGAGAGAGCGACAGAGAGAGCAGAGTGAGAGTGAGAGAGAGTGAGAGAGAGAGAGTGAGAGAGAGTGAGAGAGAGAGAGAGAGAGAGAGAGAGAGAGAGAGAGAGAGAGAGAGAGAGAGAGAGAGAGAGAGAGAGAGAGAGAGAGAGAGAGAGAAGAGAGAGAGAGAGAGAGAGAGAGAGAGAGAGAGAGAGAGAGAGAGGAGAGAGAGAGAGAGAGAGAGAGAGAGAGAGAGAGAGAGAGAGAGAGAGAGAGAGAGAGAGAGAGAGAGAGAGAGAGAGAGATAGAGAGAGAGACAGACAGAGAAAGAGAGAGAGAGAGAGAGAGAGAGAGAGAGAGAGAGAGAGAGAGAGAGAGAGAGAGAGATAGAGAGAGAGAGAGAGAGAGAGAGAGAGAGAGAGAGAGAGAGAGAGAGAGAGAGAGACAGAAAGAGACAGAGACACAGAGAGAGAGAGAGAGAGAGAGAGAGAGAGAGAGAGAGAGAGAGAGAGAGAGAGAGAGAGAGAGAGAGAGAGAGAGAGAGAGAGAGAGAGGAGAGAGAGAGACAGACAGAGAAAAGAGAGAGAGAGAGAGAGAGAGAGAGAGAGAGAGAGAGAGAGAGAGAGAGAGAGAGAGAGAGAGAGAGAGAGAGAGAGAGAGAGAGAGAGAGAGAGAGAGAGAGAGAGAGAGAGACAGACAGAGAAAGAGAGATAGAGAGGGAAGCTTAAGATAGAGAAAGATAGAGGGATACAGGGAAGGAGAGTCGAGGAAATGGAA